GAAGAAGGAAGCATAGAGGGAGGGAGGTGTATACGGGAGAGACAGTGGTAGGAGGAAGAGGGAAATAGAAGAAACTTTTGGCGAGAAGAGATGAGAAAAGATGAAATAGGAGCGAAGAGGGAAAGAGGATAAGGGTTCGAAGAGCGAGACGAAGAAGAACGAAGAAGGAAAAAAAGGCGGATGACCAGGACGAAATGATGTGGACCACGCGGAGGACACGATGTGTCTGAAGTGGGCTCGGCCTGGGAACCGGGGGGTTACGGGCTTTGCTTTCGATTTGGTCCCCCGTACCTTGTGCCACGAGCGGTCCACGCTTCGGTCGTGGTGCCTGTTCATGCAGAAACGCCTACGTATGGGTGAATATTGTGGCGCGACGGAATTGGACGTAGGGTTTCGATGGCGATGAAAGAGGATGGAACAAGGGTTTATAGAGGGGAGAAGGTGACGGTAGCGTGTCGTCGCGTGCTGAACGCGTTCGGCCGGGTCTGCCCCTGTGGCCCACCTTGCCCACGGCCATGGCCCCGTGGTGAACGTAAAGTCCCCTTCGTCTCTCTGTTCCGGCCCGTTACCATCCTTCCTTTCTTTCTTTCTTCCTTCGATTGTTCAAGCTTCTCTCTCATCGACACCCACTCTGTCGTTTCGCGAGCATTACCGTTTCCACGCGAACCATTCAGTCGGTGGGCTCGAAGGAAGAGGGAAGATTGGACGGAGACGGAGATACGGGGGTGGGCGGGCTGAGTGGCTCTTCTCCACAGTTACCTTTCCTCCTCCACCGAGTTTCTACTGGCGATCCTCCACTCCTACTACGCTCGGTTTGTGCTACTTACACGAAGTGTGATTGAGTTGAGCTGACGTTTGGGTAGGTTCATGAGGAGGAGCGGCTTGTCGGGTCAGGGTTGACTTCGCACGGCTTTGCCGATCGGGGTGGTGACTATGAGTGTGGGATGATTCTATTTATACGTTGAATTCGTTCCTTGTGAATTTAGATCGGTATATATATTAAAGATTTCGTTTCTTCGAGATTTGAAAATTAGTGTGGATTCGTTAATTATAGATAAGTCTTTATTTTTTAGATTCATAAAACTTTAATCTCAAAATTTTTGAAAGTTTTGAAAATTCTTAAAACCTGAAATGTTCTTATTCTTTTTTCTTTTTCTTCTTTTTCTTCTAAGAAATAAAATAGGTAAGTACCTATTTATTTTATTAAATATTAAAATCTTGAAAAATTTCTATTTTGAAAATTCTTTAATTTCAGAAATCTATATTCATTCATATTTCAATTAATAATAAAGTCATTTTTTTTATAATACAACTATTTTATAATACAAACTATTATATTTCTAATTTTTATTTTTTATGGATAAATTATTATAATGAATTGATAAAATCATATTAATTTTAAAATAAATTAAAATCTAAGCACAAATTTAATCGAACTATTAGTTAAATGAAAATAAATTCATACAACATTTCTGTATATTTTATTATTAATATTTTATTATTATATTTTATTATTTATATTTTATTATTTTATTATTAATATTAATATTATTAATATTTTATTATTATAAGAAGAATTATTACTTATTATTATTTATCTGTATTTCGAGATTTTCAAATTATATGATAATAAAGTTTTTCATAGAATTTCGAAGATTTCGAAGTTTCGAATGATTTATTTCTAAATATTTGTTATTGATTTTATTAAAGAAGAATAAGTTATACATATGAATATATGTATTTATTTAATCTATTTATTAATTATTATGTTTATCAAAATTTGCATATATAATAGAAGTATTATTATACCATTTGATATTTTTAAAATATGTTTTGATTAAATATATTAAAAATAAATAAAAATTTATTGAAAATTAATGGAATTATTAAGAATGTTCGAAATTCTAATTTGGAATAATTAAAGAAACTTGAAGTCTTAATTGCGTCAAAATTTTATCTTGTACTCATAAATAATTTCAAATACTGAAACAAGATTTCTCTTTGGAAGCCAGAGAAATTGGCGACAATTTGGTGATTTATTAATTTTTTTGTTTCTTACGAGGATAAATACTTTCGCGTATTTGTTCTTGATCGTTCTAATTCCTAATGTCATACTTTTCAATGATATTTTATATACATTTTTGTTCATAAATTAAAAAATATTTTTCCATAATTTTTTAGCGAATTTATTATATTTCAATGAATTTATTAAAAAAAAAGAGATCGTTTGAATTATTAGAATTTATTTTATTTTATTTTTTAAGCATTTTAAATTATATTAAACATTATATTTGAATTTTTATTTTATTTTTTATAAATATTTGTGATTATTGATATGCAGATTATTTAAGTGTGATTTTCATTTGCTCAACAAAGAATCACATAAAACGAATATTTTATAATTAAAAAATGAAAAGTTCTACGCTTTTATAAGAATCTATATAATATTTTTATAATTTAAATTAACGATTCTCAATCTTTTTATATATGTGTATTGTTGAAATCAAAATTTGTAATAGGATTTTAAAATCTAGGCAAATTTCTTTTTTCTAATTTCGCTTTGGAAAAAATTTATTACAGAAAAATGAAATTGAAATATATAAGAATTAAATTTATGTTATATGTTATATGTTATATGTTACCATTGAAAATAAACTTTTGGATAATAAAATTATTATATGGTAAATATATTATAACAAATTATGATTTAATTGCTCATAATCAAAATTACTATTCAAGAATAGCTAATTTGAATAAAATAAGAATTTTCCAATAATTTTTAAGATTTTTTTAAATCTTTCTTAGGTGTTCCAATGAACTTATGAACTTATATGTTTCTATGATAATTATGTTTCTTCTAGTTAGTGTATTGCAACATGTCTAAAGTTTTTTAATGCTTGAAAACTTTTCTTCACGCTCACGCAATTTATTTGTTATTTATCGTGTTCAATAAAATCAAATATTAAGTTAACCATTTTGAGTTAAGTTAATGATATTAGAAGGAATTAAAAAAAGATTTATAAAAAATTTGCATTTATGAATCTTGTCACAACTATTTCAAAAATGCTTTGTGAATTTTTTGCTATAGAACACAATAGTACACGCAAAATTTTTAGAATAGTATTATATAAATTTTATATAATATTAATTAATAATAATAATATAATAATTAATAATAATATAAATTAATATTTATTGTAATAGAAAAAATACAGCATTTTAAATATCAATTTATTTATTAAGACGAATGAAAACTTATTATAAACTTATTGAGAATAAATAAAATTACATAAAAATGTAAGAAAACTAATAAATTATTATATTTCAAATTCTGAATAAAACATTAAAAAATATAAAATATCTGAAAGTTTAGGTTTAATTAAAAAATGATATAAAATAAAGTAAGTAAAGTAGTTGTAATATATTATTTATTATTTTATTAAATTAAATAAATATTAGTTAATTTATTTATTAAAATTATTCTCTGTTATGATTTAATCAAATACATAACACAATGTAGGAACTATAATATTAAATACATATTGATTTTTAGATAAAATTATTTATAATAATTACAAACATAACTTACTAATCACTATATTTGCGTTTCATGAAACTTATTCTTATCCTTTTCATCGTCAATGTACTTCATATTGCAAAAAAGGCACACATTTTTTTCAATAAATTTTCCTATAATCTTAAAATATTCCAAATTACTTTTATCTTCAGTATTATGAATTGAAACTTAAAATCTCAGGTCATATTTATATCACGGAATATATTTGCAAAATCCAAATGAGTATAAAACTATAAAATTAAAATGCAAATGATTAGATTAAATGATTTACTTTAAACTTGATCGTATTTTAATTAACGATTTTAATGATTGAATACTTACTGAAAAAATTTTGCCAAATTTTTATACAATTGTTATATAAATATATATACATCTAATATATATCATAGAATATTAATATAATTCAATACCGTAGAAAACATTTTTTGCGAATCTCTCAAAAATAAAAAATAAAAGTTCAACAAAGAAGGGCGATCATCCAAAATTAGAAATTGTGTAATATTTCCTATTTGAGGAAGATATAATATAATCGTTCCA